TGATGGACAAAACCATGATCCTTCGGAAAGGAGGGAAGCGACTCAGGGTACTCCATCAGCAGCCACAACAAGTGAGTACAGCATGTCACAGATGCTTGGAAACATGCTCTGATTTTACAGGGAAGGCAATAAATGCAAAGCCCTGAGGGACTGTAGAAGAGAGGCTCATGTTAAAAGACGAGGAGAGCCCTCGATTCCCAGGATCCTGCCCGAGTTCAGCAGTGCTGAGCAGATGGGTTATCTTCAACAGATTGGCTCAAATGAGGGCCAGAGTCCTTCCCCAGTCGTGGACCCTCGAAGTGCTGAATGACAAAATATTAATGTTATTAGCTTATGAGGATGATGCCGCATCTTTAAATAAGTCTCATCCTCAAAAGGCAATCACTAGGTCCAGAAGAGTATTTTTAAAGCACACTATCTTTGGAGGAAGGTCGCAAGTACTCAAAGAAAACAGCATGGAGAAAATGAGGACAGGACTTATTTACAGCAGATAAAGTAAGCTACGCACGCCAATATAAAAATAAGATTTAATAACAAGAGGAATTCTCTCATCTTATGTAAGGATCAGAAGGGCAATGGTCTCTCGGAATCTCGTGGCATATGGAACCACAGTAATGAATGGTATTAAGATGATAAATGGACTGACCTTTGGCTAATAACATACTGATCTTTCTGACAAACACATTTAGATGTTGGAATACAAGCTTTTATGAGATGGAGACTGAACATTAAAGCGTGCGTTGTTTCTGGGGTGAGGGGGAGGCATACAGAAAGGCAGACTCCCTGAACACACAAGAAAAGGAAGCAAGTGTTACAGGAGAGGGTAGCTGTTGAGACACAAATACGTAGGACACTTAGAAGAGGAATAATTAAGAGACCTTTTAATAAGACCTATCTAATGCATAAAACAGAGCAGTTCTATCCTTTGTGCCTGACAGGCTTCAAAGTCCTCGCAGAGACAGAAATCTTGCACGTGTCTCTGATGAGAAGTGCAGAGTCAGAGAAGGCATTCAAGACGGAGCCCTCAGTTCAGCATTTCTGCAGGAAGAAAGAAACCCCTGCAGATGCTTACAGTTGTTCCCTCCATGAATGTTTGTGCTTCATGAAGCTCATTTCAGCACTCATTTCCAGTTGCCTTCTGCTTACGTTAGGACAGGAGCCTGGAGTTTCCCCAGATCAAACTGCAGCTCTCCCAGTCCTCTGGGCAACTCTCAAGGTTGAGTTTATCTAGAGAGGTCTCACCCTTGGAAGCAGGACACGCTTTTAAATGTGCGTACAGATTTTAGGATAGAGTTACGCTACAAAACTATCGTCTAGAAAGGAGGTACAAAGAATGATTTCACTATTTTGAAATATTCTCCCTGTTTTACGCACCAGAATAAAACAGGTCACAGTAGGATGGAAGATCACTGGTTCCAAGCTTAGATATAAAAATTACTATGTTTTAATTTGGATAGCAAGAGAGACAAAAACTCGACAATGATGCAAAAAAAACCCTTGTGCATATGGAAAAGCCAAGACCCAACTACGGTGCAACTAACGCAGTAAGGGCTCCCAACATTAAGGCATTGAACAACGCTGCATGAGAGGTTTCCCGTGAAAATATGGATATTGATAGCCTAAAATTTAATAGAGAAGAACAATTCAGTTCAGATCTGTTAGGCTTCAAGCAAGTCAAAAGGTACATTAAGCCCTTCACTGTAATGTAATATTAACTCATTTATGGAAGTACTTAAGTGCTACTTAAAGTACTGAAGCCACTATCTCGGTAGACGACATTTCAGAAGCTATCAGAAAGCAAAACTTAAGAGACTTTCTGCTTCCCTCCCTCCAATCTCAAATTTTATTTTTTTTTTTTTAAATTAAAAAGCAAAGCTGCAGACCACTCACCTCAGTTTTCACAACTTTATACGCCAGCCTGGAGAACTTTAAGTATAAGAGGAACTACAGAGTAACATGGGCACGCACACCATGATTTATTGCGTATCTCGCCTGCCTACTGGTGCAGAGAACCAACAGAAATGCTGGATTATATACTGCACAATTTCAATTCTCCCATCCAGTAAACATAGCAAATATGAGTACAGCCTGTCCCGGTTTAATGAAAGGATCTTTTGCTACTTGGGCGTGATGCTGCTTACATCAAATCTGGTGGAAATTTTTGTTAGGACTTCCAAGAAGGAGGGACTGTTCCCTCCTGAAAGGAGATGAAAGGATCTTCCACTGCAAAGCAAAAAAACTCCATGAAAACATTTCTGAAAAGCGACTGCAGTAC